GTTGTAGTTGTAGTTGTAGTAGTTGTTGTAGTTGTAGTTGTAGTTGTAGTAGTTGTTGTTGTAGTTGTTGTTTGTTGTTAGTTGTTAGTTGTTGTCGTTGTGGCTGTTGTTGTTGTTGTTTTTGTTTTTTTGTTGGTGTTTGTTGTTTGTTGTTGTAGTTGTTAGTTGTAGTAGTAGTTGCAGTTGTAGTAGTAGTAGTAGTAGTAGTTGTTGTTGTTGTTGTTGTTGTTGTTGTTGTTAATTATTAGTTGTTAGATGTTGTTTGTTGTTGTTGCTGTTGTTGTTGTTGTTGTCGTTTTTGTTGTTGTTTTTTTGTTGTTGCTGTTGTTGTGTTTGTTGTGTGTCGTTTGTTGTTTGTTGTTTGTTGTGGTTGTTGGCTGTTGGGCGTTTTTGTTGTTTTTGTTTTTTGTTGTTGTTGGTAGTTGTTAGTTGTTAGTTGTGGTAGTAGTAGTAGTAGTAGTAGTAGTAGTAGTAGTAGTAGTAGTAGTTTTTGTTGTTGTTGTTGTTGGTTGTTTGTTGTTAGTTGTTAGGTTGTTAGGTTGTTCAACACCGTTCAACTACAGTATCCAGAACTTGGACCTGTGCAGTCCCATGTCGAGTTGGAAGTTTGTTTGGAAGTTGGAAGGTCTCTTTTCGGGTGTTCAGGTGGGAGGTGTCCCTGTCTCACCGTCCAGCAGGGAATGCAAAGTTTGCCCAAGAAGGATTCACTGATGGGGCTGCATTTCATGTTTCATTCACAAAACTGGGATGAACTAAGGAAAGGCAACTTGGAGATCGGCCGCTATGACCAGGTGCCTGCGTTGTCAACGACCCGCGAAGAGTACCTGGACTTTGGCTTCTGTGGAAAGCTGAAGGAAGACGGCTGTGTCATTGAAGGTTGAGATGGTGTGCAAATCACTTCCTTGGAGCACAGATCAGGAGTACAGGGTGGGGGGGCAGCAACATCTTGCAACCAAGTGCCCCGCCTCTTTTTTGGGTGGGTGCTGACCCTTTTCTGCTCACGTCATTTCTGGGACACTGTACAGGCGTTCCCCGAGCGGCTCATTCGACATGGCAAATGGCCAGTGGGTGTCGAATTGTGAAGGTCGACTCGGCGTTCGGAATCACGAAAAAAAGAGACAGCTTGCGGTGATGGGTTGTGATTCTTTGGCAAGTTGGAGGGTACCCGGCGACCATTTTGTGGCTCGGGGTTTTCTTGAGCAACTCACGAGTTTCTAATTGGCTGCCAAGTTGTCCCCCCCCAAAAAATAACACTATAAAAACTAGTGACCAACGTGTGCGGTCTTCTAGGTTGGATGAAGCAATTCCTTGACGATTGGAGATTCCCCTTTATAAACCTGTTTGTTCTCAAAGGGTAGTGAGCTTTAGGAGTCCATGATGCTTCTTGTGAACAAGCATCGCCGGCATCTCCTCGGTGCACCGAAGCCTTCGTCACGTCGCGGAACCTTCGCCGCGGCGGTTCCGCCGGCGAGGCTGGCTTCTACATCTTCGAGGTGCGTGTGACTCGAGACATGGCTCCTTGGGAACGAGACGGGAGCGTCGAAGGACGGATGGACGGGGTTGTTCACATGACTGGACTGAGCATTCCCAAGAGAGGTCAGACTCAGAAAGAGACCATTCGTAGAGAAGTGCTTTGGGAGACATGTTGGGTCCCCGCTGGAGGGTTGGCAGCTTGAGGTGGTCTTACTTGATGTGTTTATGGTTATATGATCTATGTTATATAACTTCATGTTAACTTATTGTGCCAATGATGTCGACCTTGCAAGGCAAAGGTTTTATTATGTTGTATTTTGTGTTGATTGGATTCCATTTTTTAATCGGCACTTTTGAAAGTCCCACAGTCTGTTGACACGATCAAGTCCCAGAGTCTGTTTGCGAAATCGAATCTGGGGGGCACCGAAATCGAGTCTCGAATCCCAGAAGAGGGAGTGGTCAAGAGGAATTCGAGACGTTCAGGGCCAGCAGTAGTGACTGCTAACTTGTGTGAATGTCTTAGATGCTACCGAGGTGGTTTCGAGGTATTGTGAAGTACATTCGATCCAGGGACCTCATTCCAGATGAGCCCCCCCTTTGCTACGTAGGGCGCGAAGGAAGGTCTGACTGCGACCATCCCAGCTGTACAAATTGGAGTAAAAGATGCCATATATACGCTGATTCAGGGACTTTATTGCGGAGAACCGGGTAGAATGCGTTGCTTTTTTTGACATCCTTTGACCAAGGTTTGCCAGGGGTGGTCCGTTGAAATTGGCAGATCATTGGATCAGCCGAACTTGGGCCTTCACTCAGCACGCAGCATCCTGTCGTTCAGGTTTTGAAGGCCTTCTATGTCAGTGGCATGGCGATCTTCTACTTTGCCACCAAAGTGATGTCTGGCGGACTCTGAGATGCCTCATTGGATCATCCGCAAGCCGCCCAATCACCAAGCAATCGACAATGAATCGCATCAATGTATGGTTTCTGGTCACCAAAGTTCTGGCGATTGATTTGGTGATCGTCCCATGCGGTCTTCCCAGGCACGCGGCTGGACGGTTGGCTGGCTGGTGTCGCCTCCCCAATGGTCCATGTGAGTAGTGTGCGGCACAGATATTCATCTGGAATTGGATCTAGAGTGGTGTTCAATTCCAGTTCTTGGTCTATTTAAAGTGTTGGAGTTCTAATTCAAAGTGTTGTTTAATATTCTTTATAACTATGTGGTAGATGGTCTAGGCTCAGACTAGAGATTCAACATGTTGGCTTGGGGCATCAACCTGTTAAAGCTTTCAGGCCCGAAAGCGGGACAAAACGCTTTTAGCCTTGTTGCAGCCTGGGGAGACAGCGGCCTAGCTTTCACCAGCACCATCCCAAAGCATGGTGACGGTAATGGATGGATTTGGATGGAAGAGTACATGGCATACACAGGGTTAGAGGGTCTATATAGAGGCCACTCTTTGTGTTGCTGTTTTTGGTTTCTTCTGGATGTCATGCCCAACCCACATAGGCTCATGCCCCACGAGGTCGACCATTCCCCCAAGCATTTTGTTCGCCACAGGGGCTAAGTCCCGAAGACCTGCTCGCGAGCCGCCAAGATGGTCTAGCCGTGAACGCGGGAGCGGCACCAACCGCAACATGCCAACCATGCCTGTACCGTTTGCTTGAAGATCAGCGATGCAGGGGTCACCGGAATGACAGTTTCATGCAACACACCCCCGCGTTGACAATGATTGTAAGCCAGGTTGGAAAGCCACGCAGCATAAACAACCAACGCAGTGGTTTTGACATGTTTTGACCACGAGGTTTATGTATAATATATATATATAATTTATATATATTATATATATATAATGTTATTCATTTACTGTTTCTTTTTCTTTCAGGCAGGATGCCGACCGATCTGCAAACTGCTAACTGTCATTTGCAAACCTTTTGCTCGGGGTACTGACGAATCTGACTACTGGCATTGCGAGTAGCAGAATTTGGGAACCACTATTTTGCTAGCAGGCAATTAATATATACTGGCAGAATGTGGAAGGCTTGTGTATGGCACACACGATTTGGCACATCTAGACATTCAGAAAGTTTCGGAGTTGCATGATTGGAGCAACTGACTACTGCAGAAAAAAGCATCTATTTCTTTGCGGCACTTAGCAAAGCTAACCGCCGCAAAAGTTGAGCACATGTTTGCCTTGCCATCAGTGGCAAGAGTTCCCGTTTGCCGTTCTTCCAAAACTTGGTCCGAAGCAGAGTCTTTCACTTGGAGCACTGGAGGAAAGAAACTCCTGCACATCCCGGCGTGATCTTCTCATTGCGCGTGCATTTTGTTGTTTCTTGGTGAATTTTTGGAGGACTGGCTAGTTGTATGAATTAGTGAAGCTGGCTAGTTGTATGGTGTTTATTCAATGCCTTTTTCAAAAAGAACGCAGCTGGTAACAGCGCGGCTGTGATCATTTTTCTCGAAGGGCCAGTGGTCACCACGGCGCTGGCTCAGAGGATGGCCGCAAGAATCCGCAAGACCAGCATCCAGCTTTTTGCCTGGTCACTTCACTGAGCTATTTGATTTGATCAGTGATTTGGTTTCTTTGTGCTTAAATAGGTTGTTTTCTCCACTGGAGTGACATGGTTCGTTCGATTTTTGCCGATTGACTTGGTGGTCGCTTGACTTGCTGGTCTTGTGGTTCAGCTGAGTTTCATCACCGGAAGATCGGGGAGTTCCTCGGGGACTGGTAGGTGTTTGGCCCTTGGAGCGAGGGTCCCGCAGTTCGCGACTGACAACACCACAGTTTGGGTCCCTCAACGTTTGGCCGAGAAGGACTCTTTTTGAACTTCACCCGTTCAAACACCAGAGCTGAGCAGAGAAATTTGGTAGGTCTTCTGGCAACACTACGATAATTATGCAGGCTTTGAGGTAGCAGAAGGCAATGTTTCTAGATTGCTGGGAAACTGCAGTGTATGATGACTGTGAACACTTGGTGGTTTGGAGACCAGGGTGAGGCGATGAGGAGGGCATGTGAAGCACCTGACATTCCTCAAAACTGGTTGGCTTCAAGTGTTGAGGTGACCTGACACCAGCCACTGGAAAACATTTGTAGTATTTGGAGGCTGTGGAGAGAGATCTGCCATGTGAAAGACAAAGAACAAAGGAAAGCACCTCGATACGGATCCCTGACTTCTGACCGCTCTTTGATTTGGGGCTGGCCACTTTTAAGTTGGGCTGGTGGCCCCCGCCCCATGCTGCTTGGAATCCTAGGGAGAATCAGCACAGTTTGATCTCCTGGGCTGAAATGGATCAGAGAAACTTGCTGAAGCTGGTTCGTCGGTTTGGCAATTGCTAACTCAGTACTGCTGGACTTCTGGACTCGGAAATCTTTAAATTCCGCCAGCTGGGTGACATCGGAAGGGTCCAGTGGGGTCGACCATGTGGTCCTTTTCCAATTCTAAGCCGTCTAAGCCATGTGGTCTCTGTGGTCCCAACTGAGTCGCTTGGCGTGGCGAATGCTCGTTTGAAGAGTCGCTTTTTCGAGAACAGGTGCCAACTGAGAAGAGGGCGACGGCCTCGCTAGTCGAATGGAATCGCTGGCAGCTACTTTGTGGATCAGCTGTTACCCTGAACCACCAGGTCACAGATCTACTCCGAGCCACCAGGTCACAGGCTACTCGGAGGGTGCCAGGCTGGACCAGTGGAGGCTCGAAGTGTATTAACCACTGACTAAACATGTGGCAAAGATGCTTCCATCTCTAGAGCATTTCTTCAGAGATAAACTTGCGGCAGCGGGCTACCTTGTACCTTGTCAGCGACCTGAAGATTTGTCCTTTCTACTACTTGTACCCATCTTTGGCATTTCAAGCGACATCTACGGAACATGGAACCAGGGGATAGATGGGATAGCAAGGTTTCCAGCATCAAAGCAGGGGATGCCGTGGGAGCCTGGTCCTGTTTCCATGGGAGTTTCTATGTGTCATGGACTCGCCTAGCAAGCACATGGAAAAGTTGATTGCAAAGTGTGTAAGAGTCTTTAACGGTTGGAGGTAGGCGTCTACAGAACCGAAGTGAATATCAATATTCATAGGGATGTCAATGTTAGAGTCATTGGGGCGTTGAAACATCCCTTTTCTCAAGGCTTCCTGCTTTTGTTCATCCCAGTGGGGGTGGCGTTTCCGCGAGTGCGTTTGGGGAAGGGCCCCACACATCGCTCCAGTGAAAAGCCGACGGCGACGCGGTTTGTGGGCGGGTTGATGGAGTTTGGATTCTGATGAGCTGCTGATGAGCTGATTTGCAGCCGATGATCATGTTTTGCTCAAAAAGCCGCGATTCGAGCCACCCCCACGGATAGACAGGCACAATGTGGGGATGTACGTTCACTTATTATTACCACTTTTATTTGCTCTGAATTTATTTGGGATCGTT